ACCCCTCTTTCTTGATTTTACCACCAAGTCGTCCACATAACATTCGACATTTTTGTGGAGAAAGTCATCAAAAATATTCTGTATAGCCCTTTGATAAGTAGCACCGGCGTTCTTCAAGCCAAAAGCCATTACCCTGTAGCAATAAATACCTTTGGGTGTGTATAATGTAGTAAGCTCTTCATTTTTCGATGCCATGCAACTTTGGTTATAGCCTGACGAATCATCCATAAACGACATTGCCTCATACCTAGTAGTAGCATCTATTATCAACTCTAGAATAGGAAGCGGGAATTCATCTTTGGGACAAGCATTGTTGTGATCCCTGAAATCGACGCACACTCGAATCTGGCCATTCTTCTTCCTTATAGGGACAATACTTGAAACCCACGTTGGGTATTTAACTTCACGAATAAAGCCAACTTCGATGAGTTTGTTCACTTCGGTTTCAATCAAGGGAACCAAGTCCATCCTAAAGTGCCTTTGAGCTTGTTCAATAGGGCGAGCATCATTCTTGACTGCAAGGAGATGGACTGCTACTTTCGGGTCCAAGCCATGCATCTCTTTGTAACTCCAAGAAAAGTCATCTCTGAACTCCTTGAGTAACTCAATATAAGTGATTTCTTCATCAACTTCTAGTAAAACACTTAGGTAGGTGGTCTTGGTTCTTCATCAGTGCCAAGGTTAACTTCTTTTAAGGCATCAAATGTCGTCTTCACTCCTTCTTCAAGTTTAGGTGGATCATCTTTCGCATCTTCATCTTCTTGAGGGCCCCCATCGTTGAAGGATATATGATAACACGGTGAAACATCCTCCAATTCTGCATTATCCTCCATTGAAGATGGGACACCATTCTCGCCTTGTACAGTAACATGATATGAAGAACTCACACTTTCTTCATCTTCGTCACGTTCCTTAGTGTAGACCACAGTATATGGCTTTACCTTTAGTACTTCTTTACATGAAACCATAAGTTTTATTTATTGCCTCATTCTAGAAGGAACCAAACTTTGGAAATCCTTAGAGAGCTTCTGGATTTTGGGCGAAACGGGTTTTCTTATGCTTTGAAAATTTCTCTGGAACTTGTTCGCCTTCTTTAATGGACCTAGTCTCTCAAACACAGAAGTCCTCACAGTTGATTTTCCAAGTCGATCAAAGACAGAAGGCTTATTATAAGTGGCCGATTCATCTTCTACAGTGATATAATTGCTGCTCGCTCTTCTTATAGAGATGCATACTGGTGACAATTGCTTGTATCCCAAACCTTCACATGGTTGTCTCGTCGCAGCTTCTGATGGTAGCTTCCCTAACTTTGACGGCTCATTATGATCGTATCTAGCTTTTGCAAATAACCTGTAAGCGTTAGAATCAAAACCTTCATCTGTTCGCTTTGTAGGGAGTGCCACATTCTGCAGATGATTTTGGGCCACAAACCCTGCAAGTGGCTTTGAGGACAACTTTACTGCCTCAATTCGTTTTACTGGAAGAGTTAACTCCTTTAGCATGTTAGTTTAGAGATTAGATTATTCACCTTCATCTTTATTCCTTTTAGGGACATATTGGAGCGCAGGACTTACTTTCTTGCCATAATACGCAATATTCCCTCTATAAGATTTATTCGCGTTGGGTTGTACTTCCTCAGTAACAACTTTGGCTTCATCAGTAGTCACCTCTTCTCTTTTAGTTGTGGGCTCGTTATTCTTGCTTTTTATGCCATCATCAGCTTTTAGCTTTTTCATAATGCAGTTCTTTAAGTAGAACTTTGCATTGGAAAAGTGTGACTCAACCTCGGTGAATGGCTTATCATCAACAACTATCTTCTTCTCGACTTCACCCTCGTAGTATTTTATACATTGATGGTAGGTAGATGGAACTACTTTATTCTCATGTATCCAAGGTCTTCCAAGCAAGACGTTGTTTGAAGTCTTTACACCGATCACATGCAGCCATGCACTTGATTGCATAGCTTCAATGGTGATTTCTAGCCTAATCGCGCTTTAGGATCTTTGCCCCCCTTGGTTGAATCCTTGGATCATCACACGACTTTCTGAGAGTTCGTTCATAGGAATACCAAGTTCTTTCACAATGCGAATTGGCAAAATGTTCACCGAGGATCCTCCATCAACCAAAATTTGATTTACCCTTTCATCACGCATATAGCCAACCAGGTACAATAGACGGTTATGAAGAGTGTCGCCTAGCATAATATCGTCACTTGTGAATGTGACTTTTTCCTCACAAGCATTAACTTCTTGAGGAGTGGAGTTGATGAGCTTTTCTGAAGATGGCTCCAACAGTAGGTCATCACTCTTTTCTTCCCCTTCGTCAGCATGGCAACAAGAGGCATCGGTACCCTTATGGTAAATCTTCATGCGGAACCAACTTGGTGAAAACTCCTCTAATGTCACTGGATTTTGTGACTTTTGAGAGTGGTACACCTCCACGTTTGCTTTCTTTAGGTGCTTAACTCGATTCTATCTCCTTAGTCTTTTTACCATCATTTTCCTTGTTGGTTGTTCTACTGATTCTTTTCATGGGCTTCTTATGTGGTGCCTACGACGAGTCACCAATGTCCAACCTTTATCATCATCAAGTTGATTGACTTCATCTTTGTTGTTATCCAGTAATTCTTCATCTTTACTTTCTTTAAAACCATATAATTCATCCGGACTGAATGAGCCAAAGGTGATAGAGACTTGGTTTGTGCTTGCTTTTTTATTTTCAAACACGATCTTCTTTTCGCGACCCAAGTCCATAACTTTGTCCTTGAAGACAAAGCACTTCTCTAGAGGGTCTCACAAGTCGATGGTATTTGCAGTCATTTGGGTCATTTTGTTTTCCCAGCTTCATTTGGTCGCTTCATCTCCGGAAGCTCAATGAGATTTAACTCGAGGAGTTCTTCAAAAATAGCTGGCACATCAGAATCTGGAAATGGGTACTCTTTCTCTTGAATTTCTTTTAGAGTCAACTTTCCACTTGGTTTATCTTGAAAAGAAGTGGATTTCATACTCTGCTTCTTGCTCACCTTCGTCATGAACTTTATAGGTGATGTGTTGACATTCATAGCTCCTTTGCTTTCAGACTTGGGTACAAACTTGCCCTAATTACGGACTTCTTGTTTGTCGTTCCCTTTGAGAGGTTCATAGATGGGTGGCCTTTCATTTCCAGTAGAGGCCATGCTTAATTCCATGTAGTGGGCACGAGTTGCAAGTTCTTTAAATGTGCTAGGCTTGATACCTTGCAAGATGTAGCGCAATCCCCAATGTGATAGGTTTTAAATGTTCTTGCCTTATGTTTTGATGATCTAACAAACTTACTGTTAAGAACCAGAGAGGGAACCTGACCTACTCGGACTATACTGCCAGCTTAACGAATTCTAACTAAAGGTGAACTACTACAAATTCAGGAGCTAGGAACCCAAACAAGGATCTGATACCCTTATTGTTCCCTCATCACAGTACAAGTCAATTGGTCACAGCTGGAAATGAAGTGACTGACTGCACTGTTTTTGCCGCAATACACTGTCTCCAGTGCCCACTCATTCTCTAACCAACTAAAATACTCACACCATTTCAAGTGATGTGATCAAGGTGTACCTACAATGAGTTTATACAAAACATCACTTGAAGATTTCAGTTTCTCATTCAAGCTTCTTGCAAAAATAGAGAAATCAATCCTCACAAGCTTGAAGAACAAAGTTGAACGTAACTACTGACCAGTTCCTAAAAGATACCTTGTTATTGTCCTAGTTGAGTTGTAACTTTGTGATTGTACTTATTGTATCTCCTAAACTGCTAGCTAGAAGCATTTGATTAGGAATCCTCTTGTAAATTCGTAAACTCCTTGAGTTTATGTTGTGACTAGGTTTAGTCATAAGCAAAAGCCTTTGTAACCGTAGAGTGACAAAGTGGCTTGTGGTGAGAGCATCACAAGTTAGTAAAAGTCTTTGTAACTAGGAAGTCACAAAGTGGCTTGTGGTAATAGTACCATAAGTTAGTTGAGTAAATTCTTTGTAATGGAAGTCATTGCAAAGTGGCTTGTAATAGGTTTTTTACAAGTTAGTGAAGTTAAAAGCCTACATCCCCTTGTGTGAGATTTTTCCACGTAAAAATTCTCTACCTTATTTACATACTATTTTATTAGCATTCTCAGCAGAATCTTATAGAGGACCAGGTACTCTATTGTTTAGTGGACTCACACAAACTAACAATTGGTATTAGAGCAGGTTTCTCCTATCAGGCTAACACCTAGGAAAGATCCTCATGGTTGCTCCACCAAATTTTGAAGAAGGTCAATCTACATACCGACCACCCATGTTCAATGGACAATACTATGGGTGGTGGAAAACAAGAATGCACGATTTTATCATGGCTGAGGATTATGAGTTATGGGATATCATATGTGATGGTCCTTATGTTCCAACCCAGGTACTAGAGGAACTTCCATTCTCAATGACAAAAACCAGCAAAGAATACACTGAAGCAGACAAGAAAGTTGTGGAAAAGAATTTTCGTGCCAAGAAAATTCTAGTATGTGGAATAGGACCTGAAGAGTACAATAGAATCTCTACTTGCGACACTGCCAAGGAGATATGGGAAGCTTTGCAAACAGCTCATGAGGGAACTACACAAGTAAAATAGTCTAATATTGATATGCTCACTACCGAGTATGAACTCTTCAAAATGAGGGACGATGAATCCATTCAAGATATGCACATAAGATTCACTTTCATCATACATGAGTTACACTCACTTGGTGAAACTATTCCCAGAAACAAGCTAGTGAGGAAAATCCCCAGCTTTCTGCCTAGCTCTTGGAAAGTAAAGTTAATGTTATTACTGAATCAAAGGACTTACTGGAGCAGACCATAGAAGAGCTGATCGGAAACTTAAAGACCTATGAGTTGAAGAGAAAGATAGACAGTGAAAGAAGAGAACCAAAAAAAGAAAAATAACCTTGTACTTAAAGTTGATAACACTGATTCAAGTGAGGAAGACAGTGACATGGCTTATTCAACCAAAAAATTTCAGAAGATGGTCAGAAGAAATGGAGAAATGCTAAAAAGAGACGGCTCTAACAGACCAAAAAACAGTGATCTTTGTTACAAGTGTGGAAAGCCTGGACACTTCATGAAAGATTGTCCTCTCTTGAAGCAAGAATTCTGTAAGAACTACCATGAGAAAACAACTAAGACGAACCTGGTTCCTTTCAAGGACTTCAAGAGAAAAAGATCCGCTGACAATATGATGAGACATGCTCTTGCAGCATGGGGGGATTCCTCTAGTGAGTCTGAAGATAAACCTGATACTGGTGATAGTTCTATGATGGCAGTTGAAGGCAAGGAGATTGGATATGACTCAACTTTTGCTTTGATGACTCAATCAGATGATGATGAAGACAATGGCAATAAAAAGGTAAATTTCAGGGATGTTCAGAGAAATCTGAAATCCTATTATTCAAAAAAACTCATGTCTTTAGTTGATGTATTAATCACTGCTTTTCATAGTCTTGTAGAGGATAGGGATTATTTGACCTTAGAATTAGAAGAATCTGAACAAACTACATATGACTTAGTGGCTGTAGTTACTGACCATAAGAAAACCATTGAAATTCTCAAAAAAGAAAAAGGATGATCTGTTGGCAGAAATTACAGACCTAAGGGAAACAATAGTGAAACCATTGACTAAATTAAAACCTGAAAATTCTGGAAAGGGGATAGCCAGTGAGGAATACATTAGGCTTGAAAATGAGGTGAAAGCTATGCTAGGATGTCTGCTGAAATTGAGAAAAACGAGCAACTCCAAACTAATCTGGAAAGAGTAAAGAATGATCTTGAAAAGTCCCTAAAGTGGACCTGGTCCTCAGAAACTACCACTGCCTTGCATACTAATGGTTGCAAAAACAGGCAGAGAATAGGGTTCCAAAGGATGAAAACTCCTCATAACCCTCACAACAAATACGTCATTGTCTCTGATAACTGGCTTTGTACCTAATGTTGGAACATTGGGCACTTCAAGGAAGATGTCCAGGCCAAGAATCAATCGGTTCAAAGAAACAAGGTGTTTGATGAAAAAGTGACTACAAAAGAGGGACCAGGTTCCACTCACAAAAAATGCACATTACCTGCATGGACTAAGAGAACTCTTATTCATCCTCTTGCCTACTACAAGGGACCCAAACTTGCTTAGGTTCCTAAAACTAACTCTTAATCTCTTATACATGGAATAGTGAAAGTAAGCGGTCAACAATGGTTCATGGATAATGGGTGTTCAAAGCACATGACTGGGAACACCACAGACTTTCTTTCACTAAAAGCCCTACAAGGAGGGAATGTAAAAAGGGGGTACATTTTTGGAGTTGGAAAAGTCAGGAAGTCACTCACTCATTCTATTGAAAATGTGTACTATGTCAACGACCTTAAGTACAATCTCTTGAGTGTTTCTCAAATATGTGTTAAAGGAAACAAGGTGGAATTCTTGTCCAAAATATGTACAATCACCGATCTTGTGACCGGTGAAATAGTACTTGTGGCCAAAAGATACAAGAACATCTATGTTGCTGATTTCGAGTCCTTACAAAGTGGTGATCTGAGTTGTCTGAAAGTTGTTGATGATGATGCTGAACTATGACACAGAAGACTGGGCCATGCAAGTTTTTCTCATCTGAACAAACTAATTCAGAGGGACCTGGTCCATGGTCTGCCTATGTCATAATTCAAGATGCAAAAAATCTGTGATGCCTGTGCTAGAGGAAAACATGTGAAGTCTTCTTTTAAGTCTAAAAGAGATGTGAGCACCTCAAAGCCACTAGAGCTTTTGCATATAGATCTGTGTGGACCTATGAGAGTGCAAAGTAGAGGAGGAAAAAAATACATTTTCGTGATCGTGGATGACTACTCCAGATTCACATGGACTCTGTTTCTCAAAACCAAAGATGAAACTATTGAGGTGTTTGTGGCCTCTATGAAGAAGATCCAGGTAAAGATGGAGTCTAGAGTCGCATGCATTAGATCAGATCATGGGACAGAATTTGACAATGTCAAATTTGATGAGTTTTGCAATGAAAATGACATCACTCATAACTTTTCAGCTCCCAAAAATCCCTAGCAAAATGGAGTAGTAGAAAGGAAGAACAAAACTCTGGAAGAAATGGCAAGAACAATGTTGATCGACAGTGGAATTGCAGAGAACTTCTGGGCTGAAGCCGTCAACACTGCCTGCTACTTGGTGAACAGGTGCATGATCAGATCACATGTGAACAAAACCCCGTATGAATTGTTGAATGGAAGGAAATCCAAGCTGACTCACCTAAGAATATTTGGGTGCAAATGCTATGTTCTCAACAATGGAAAGGATTGACTTGGTAAATTCGATACCAAGAGTGACGAAGGAATATTTCTGGGCTACTCTTCTCAAAGCAATGCTTACAATATATATAATAAACGAACTCAATGAGTTGGGGAAAGTGTCCATGTTATTTTTGATAAGTCTTATCCATCCTGTGAGAAGAGTGCTAAGGAAGATCAAAATGGAGAACCCTTACTAGTCCCTGGTGAAGTCATTAACATGACAAATGGAAAGACAGATATGATGAGTCAAGTAAAGGAGCTAAATGAAGATAATGCTGCCTCATCTTAAATAGAACCAAACACTTCATTTACAACCACTGAAGCTGAAGAAAGAGTGGTTGATGCAGTTCAGGGAACTCCACTAGCACCTCAGAAAAGGACAGAGTTAAATCAATCAAACATACCCTCTTCCTCTCAAAATGAACCTCATGTGTCTAACTGGAGACACCAAAGCTCTCATCCAATGGAAAACATTATTACTCCTGTAGATTCCGGAGTACAAACCAGGTCAAGAGCTAGAAATTCATTTGCCTTCTCAGCCTTTCTCTCCCAGATAGAACCCAAAAATATCAAAGAAGCCTTGAAAGATGTAGATTGGATTACAAACATGCAAGACGAGCTACATCAGTTTGAGAGAAACAATGTGTGGCACCTGATACCTAGACCCCCAGATCGAACCATTACAAGAACCAGGTGGGTATTCAGAAACAAGCTCGATGAACATGGAATTACCACAAGGAACAAGGACAGGATAGTGGTCCAGGGCTACAATCAGGAGGAAGGGATTGACTATGATGAAACGTTTGCTCTAGTGGCTCACATGGAAGTTATTAGAATTCTAATCGCTTTTGCATCTCATATGGAATTCACCTTGTTCCAAATGGATGTCAAGAGTGTATTTTTGAATGGACTCCTTAAGAAAAAAATCTATGTGAAGTAACCCCCTGTAAGCACGTGATTTTTGCCCTACATGAGAATTACTCCCAAAAATTTCCAAAAATAAAACAATTTTTTAATTGTTTGCAATTGTTGTGAATTTTGTGTTATTTTTCTTGTATTGTTTGCATTTTGTCTGTGCATGTTTATTTGCTAAATTAATAATAAAAAAAATAATACAAAAATATGTCGCATTTGCATTTGATATTTAATATAGTTTGTTTTACAAAATGAAAAAATTATAAAAAATAATGTACGTTGCATTTATAGCATTTAATGTCCAAATTGTGTAATTTTATCGTTAATCGTTATTTTAATTGTATGTTAATTATTATTAAGAGTTAATTAGTATTTCCTGATAATTTTGGGTTTTATAATTTAATCTTAGCATTTTTAGCTTTATTATTTAGAAAATTGAATAAATAGAAAAGAACAAAAATGGAAGAAGACCGGATTGAGCTTTTTCTTCAATTTTAAACCACAAGCCCAAAGAGTTTTCCCCATGACCCGGTCTATTTCAACCCGGGTCGACCCGGTCCACCCCATAACCCCAAATGAACTAACCACTCCTATCTTCATTCCATTTTTTCCTAACCCTAAACCCATCCCCCCCTCTCCATTTCTCTCCATCTTCTCCAAGCTTCCTCACGCCCCCATCCATGGTTGCCCTTGCATTGTCTTCTTCGACGCAAGCACTCACACACATCTCCACAACCATCCACACTCGTCGACCACCAACAACCCCGCCTCGTCGTCGAAACCATGAACGACCAACAACCCCGCTTCGATGAGTTCCAGCCATGAACGACGTGAAGCAGCCCCAAACAGCCTCGTCGCAACACAGCACCACCCCGCTGCTTCATCTTCTTCATCGACCACCATGAACGACCAGCCATGAACGACCGGCCAGGAACACCCTCCACTATCTTCCTCCTCCAGTCGCAGCTCCAGCCATGTCCGCCTATCGCAGCAGCAACGACGTGAAGCAGCTCGTCGTTGCTCCATCTCTAGCACCACCCCACTGTTTCGTCTTCACGACCCAAACGACGACCAGCAGCTCCCTCGACATCCATGGCTGCTCTGCGGCATCGCCTTCTTCATCGCACATCACCCTCATCCATCGTCCTTATTGCAAGAGATGAGATCGTCCAGTCATGGATCGTCCGTTCGAGTTCATGTCTAGTCGCCATTTTAAGTTCGGATCCGACGAGATCGCCCGTTCGTTAGTTCCATTCGTGATTCAAAATCGAGCTTTTCAATGGAGTTTCTTTGATGTTGAAAATAAAGAAGTTTCTATTAAGAGGTCATATTCTAACTTTGCTCATCTTTCGATTTTCAGATCTTGCATCGTGGGTATATGAGTTGTTTTGTTCGATTTCCTTCGTTCCAGTTTTATGACTCACGTGATACTGATATCTTGGCCCTTTTACTTGTGATGTTTGTTTGTTTAATTGTTGAATCACATAAGAAGTTTTACATAGTCGTTTATCTCCATTAGTTGTCATATTATCTCGTTTCTGTTAGTTGGTTTGTATATTCGTATTGTTGTAGTTTGCTATTTGTTGAAATGGTTCCAGTTTGCTCTTTGTTGTTGATCACGTTGTTTGGTTCCCTGTTCGTTCAGGTTTTGTCTAAGTTAAATCACGATTTTATTCCCAATACAGTTAGTTTAGTCCCTTGCATCTGTGTGTCAATCGTAGTCTGAAATCTGCCCGTAGTAGTTCAACATAGCTTCGTTTTGAATCATTCATCTTTGTTGTAATGTTGTTGGATTTAATTTGAAGATCAATTGATTATTGAGTTTAGTGATTTGAATCTGTTTAGTTGTTCTATTTAAGTTTAATTTGAATTTGAGCTCAATGATTTGAATATACTTGTTTGTTATTGTTGTTGAAATCTGAAAGTAGATTTGTTGTTTAAAAATATTGTTCAGTCAAAATAATTCGAGTTGTTTCTTTGTTGTTCATCATTTAGTTTGAGTTTGTTCATAAAATTTGATTAGGAATTGGTTATAGCTACTATATTTTGGTTAGAATTGATTAGGTGAATTGGTTATAGCTGACATGGTAGATTGGTAAATTGCAGTATTTTCAGGGGGTAAAATGGTAATTTCAGTAAGGTCGGAAGGGTATTTTTGGAATTGAAAATCTAAACGATTATTTATTTTGAGTGCTTTGTCCATTAAGATTAAATAATATTTAAATAATATTAAAATAGTACATGGTGGGGGACAAGACATAATGTAGTGGGGGAATAATATAATTGTTTAAGGTAAGCATAGGGGACAAGATATAATGGAGGGGATAATGTATTTGTTTAATATAGCGGGGGACAAAACATTAGGCAGTGAGATTAAAAGGGGGATGGGTGGAAGATAGTGGAATTTAACTTTATAATGCTGAAAGTTGGTAATAAATAGAGGAGACTTGGACAAAATTTAGAGAGAATTAGCTAGAGATTGAAGAGAGAGAAAATTCCGAAAATATTAAGACTTCCAAAAAATAAAATAAAAATAAAAAACATTCTGGAAATTTAAAGAGAGTAGTATACACCTGATATACAATCTAAATATTATGATATACAGATCCAGAAATTAAGGGTTAAACATTAACTAGTCTTTCAATCTGAAAAGATTCCCTTTGCTTCTGCCCGTTAATTGTTGTTGGTGTCTCGGGATTTTCGTTTGATTTGTTCCTTGAGTTTGGTTGGTTGTTTGCCACTACTTCACTGGTTTGCTGGATTTTTATCTTAATTTAAAATCTGTCACTGGTTTCTCGTTGTTGGTTGTTACTGGTTGTTGGGTGTCGCTGTTGTTGTATGCTACTGCATTTCTGCTGATCTTCCTTTTCTTTTGCTTCCAATATCAGGTACACAACTGACACACTGGTTACTGTAAACTGGAACATGAAGCATGAATATGAAATGAAGAGTTGAAGTTCTGCATTTATCTTAATTATATTCTGAATTTTATTTGTATATATACATTATTTATCTTACTCTAATCAGAATCATGTAGCTGTTTAATATATATAGTGGAACATCTGACGTTAGCTTAGCGGACGAACTATCTATGTATTGCCTAAAAAATAAATAAATGGTGTAGTAACTCTGTCTAGTTAATTCGTTATTGTTGGATGATTATCATGTCTCAAAAAGCATGTTAGCTGATTTAGACTATTCTTAAACATTCAACAGTTAGTTCATTAAACGAATAGATCGTTTCGGAACTTGTAAGAATATTGTTTAGCTAAATACTATTGGTTAATTTCAGCATGTAAATGGTTTAGGATTAAAATTAGATTGCCAAGTTTTTTTTTAATTTGACAAACTGTGAGCATGCCTAGTATAATGTAACTAGGTAGTAACATGTGAATGAGATGACCCGGGTCCAGTTTTGTACCATACACATTGGGTCTGGGCCCGCATTGGCAACAGACTGCCCTGCTTGCATC